TCATAATATAAGCACATCTTTACAAAATTTAGCAGATTATTGGTTAAACATTACAAGGTTTTCGTTCACAAAATATCAGGTTTTTAAATCAAGTATTCAGATTTTCTCGTAAACCTTTTTCTTTCAGAATGTTGACTATCCAACATGCAAAGCAATTTTGATTTTAAGATGAAAAATATTTTAAAGCATTAGAACATTTTCAAATTTCACATGCGAAATCTTTATAATCTCCAGTTAATTATCAATTTTTTTGTTTAAAAAACTATATTTCATTTTCGGTCGCGTATTTCTCTACGGGTTGATTTTATATGACCAACTTCGTAACCTCAATAAAAAATGAGGAAAAAAAAATTTATGCTTTTTTCGTTCTAAAATGACTTCAGATTATAACACGAAAACACAAAATTTTAGTCTAACTAGCTTAAATCTCATGATGTTATTATATTGACCTTCTAACCATGCCTGGCTAACAATACAGTAGTTACAATGACACGGCACACGTGCAGTAGTGTTACCGTATCCAATAATATATAACGGACCTTTAGTCTTTATAAAGTGACTTGTCTTGGCTGTGTTTTAGTGCAGTAATATTTTGTAAAATACAGTAACAAATTGAACTATTATGCATTATATATGTATATACATTATTTATATTTACAAATAAGCACTTCAATTTATTTTTCTTAAAATACAGAACAGCAAATAAAGTACAGCAAACAATTATCTTTTCTACTTACGACCTTTGTGCTCGTTTGCCGCTTGTCGTAGGTTGCTAAGCCTTATGAAATTTCCCACGTGGGGGACGTAAAAAGAAATTTTTTTAGGTTTTATATATACATTTCAATTAACCAAAAAATCATAAATTACTATATAAATACCATAGTAACTAAGCTGTACTTGGTTCTAAGAATATATGAAATTTCGAGCTCACTAAAGACTTACCTCATTGTTTGAAATATTGTGTGAAAAAAATGAAATTAGCACAATAAAACGTCAAAATGGCTGAGAAAAACCACTAGAGAGAGATTCTAAGCTTTTGATTGATTATTCATGTCATGCATAGAAGTAAGTGTATATACGGACCGTTTCCAAAAATGGAAAGAGGTGGGCGGAGGGGGCCACTGTGATTCAGTACAGGAGCGATTTTTTAGGAAATAGAAAAGATAAGACGTTCTTATTTTATATTCTAGCTTGTCAGTATTGGTAGTTTGAGTTACTAATTCGTACGAAACTGTATAGTTTTTATTTTGACATCACAACCATCTAATTTGAACCAGTGCTGCATTCAACATACCACATGACACACAAAAATCGATGTTTAGATGTGTTTTTTAATACTTACTTTAAGAATAAGAAAGTAACAAATGTATAATACTAAAATTTTAATTATAGTCGACAATTTGATACCAAACTTACTGACATAGATTCATAAAATAGTAGTTCAATAATATTTTGAATGCAAGTCAACAAACGTGATGAAATAGCTTTTGGTACGTGACCTGTCGAGATAGGGTTAAAACATTAAAAAAAACTGCTTACAACAGCATTATGGATTGATGAGACTCGCTTTTTATATTCAAATTCAAATCAAGACTCTAACTGCCACATGGGGAGAAAGCAGAGAATTCCAGTAAGTCATCAGCGAAATGTTAACTATATAAAAGTAATTTTGACGCTTTCAGCGAGATTGTCTCTACCTTGAACAAAATCAAGACATGTTTATAAAGTGTTGTGCACATTGTCTTTCTACACTGTTTCACTGCACTGCCGATCGTGTTTGAGGCATATATTTTCTCTGTTTTAATTTCAGTGTATATTTAGTATTCTGCTAAGTTTATTGCAGTTTGATTTTATCTTTAGTTTATGTTTTAATTTAATAAATCCAGCATTTGATTAATTTTTTCTCTTTTACCACCAGTTGTATTTTAATCAAATTCAGTTGAGCTTAGATTCATTTTTAATTGCCTCCCAGTGGCACAGCGGCATGTCTGCGGACTTACAACGCTAGAATCCGGGTTTCGATACTCATGGTGGGCAGAGCACAGATAGCCCGTTGTGTAGCTTTGTGCTTAATTACCAACAAACATTTTTATTTTCCATAAATTTGAACTTTTACTTCACATTTAATTTCTTTCATTACTTTCGTGTTTTAAGTTTGTTTCAGGGTATTTTCTTATTTACCAATAACGTGTTTAAATTTTACGAGTGAGTCTTGCTTTTTTTTCATTTCGCACTAAAAACAAACTACACGTTTATTTCTGTTGTATATATATTGCATCAAATGTTTCGTTATTTTGGAGATCTGAAATCTGTCAGCTCTAAATTAAGTCTCAGAATATCACAACAACATTTACGTAAATAAAACAACAAGAAGTACAATGTGTAAAAAAGAGAGTAAGAGTTATTCTTTTACACGCTTTGCTTCTGTGCTACATAACGGAGGCTATTTCATAATATAAATCTTCACCTGTGTTCTTAAGTTTTGTTAAACTTTCCTCGCTATAATTCCTAATAACGAATCTTGATTAGCCTTCAACTCTGAACCTATTTACTTCGTAGGCAGAATGTACATGGCGTTGAATCACGCCATCTCCTATCTACGTTCTGCCTAGATAAGTGAAACATTATATGTGAGTGATATGTGTAAAATGTTTATATAAGGAAACTGGTGGAGTGATTGATATTGAACTTCAGCTTGTGGATGACAAGTAAAATTATACAATTTAATAATTTATACCTAAAAATTGTGACACATCCATATTTCCGCTCTGTATTTAAATACATTTAGTCTTTAAAGATTCTAGTTTTTAATTAACAATATAAGAGCTTATGATACTTGGTGGTATCCTTTATTTGATTTTTTTATTTAGATACATTATTTGATGGAAACTTTTTATCAACCCCACCACAAAAACATTACATAAATGATGTAACTAACATTAGTGTTTTTTTCCCAAATTTTATTCCAAAAATAAGCAGACAATTACATTTAACATGTAAAATATAGACTAGTGTCTTTTTTTTCACAGGCAGTTCAATCATTATTTGCTGTTTTGATTTACACATACATACAATCTGCAGAGTGCAATTTACAGTAAAATTATCTTTTGTTCAAATCTGTGTTCAGTTACCAAATAGATTTACTTTTAAAATCCACCATCATATGTTAAATCACAGAATTATCTCAAAATTCTTAAAAGTATTTTTTTCTATAAAAAGATTATCATAATATTTGGTTTGGTTACAACAAATCAAAAACTTTTAAAGGTCGTTTATTATTCCACAAATATGCAAGCTATAGCAAATGGTTTCAATTATTCAATTAAAGGCCTTTCAAAATATCTTTCAGTGTTAAAGACCTTAATATACAAAAACCCATATTGATATAATTGATAGCTACAGACCAGTGAAGACACTTAAGTGTAGAGGTTTGATCCGAGATGAATATTAATTCCACTTGTCACCATACAATATACGCAGTGTATAATGGTACTGATTATGGGAAGAAAAGTGCAAGCAAAACCAAAAGCTCTGTACATTGGGGATAAAAGATATCCAAAGAAAAAAGTAATCCGACCCACCACGAAGAAAAACACGAGTAGGGGAATAACTTTCATCTGTTCTTCGTTGATGTACGTACACAATACTAGTTGGCTAAAACTGCTAAGTAGAAACTGTTCCACTGTGTTCTGCAAACAGTTTTTGGTGACTTGCACTACGCGCTCGTGGCCTGCAAGTGGATTGATAGCTGAAGTACATAACCGTTGTAAGGCCACAACCCAGACACACACTACAACCGTCAACAGTTCAAATAACTGACATCGTAAAGTGAAGAGTACACGGTCGCTTAACAAGTGGAGATGTGGAAGCTGAACCTCCATATAATTAATGTAAGTATATGACACCAAAAATATGAAACCAACAGCCACAGAAATCCATAATATTACACGCATTCGTAACTCGTTGTTAGAAGGTGCCACCTCGACTTTTTTAACCTGTTTTGCCATAATTGTATTATTACTAACCAGTAACCTAGTGATCTACAGATTTCAATATTGGAACAGTTATTAAGTTACTTATCTGGTCGATTCACATGTTTAGTGGCCTTGAAATATGGGGTGGTTCATTAACGTTAGTTTTAATAGAGGGCGCTCAACCTAATTCTAAAAAAACATTAAATGAATGGATACAAATTAGATATATCTATCGGTTTCTATTTCGATATATTCATATGAACCTGATGTTTTGCATGTAGTTATAGTGGTGCATTTTGAGCTGAATGTAGAAAGGACGTAAACTTGCGTTTAATCCTCTAATTTATACAAAGGTCACATATCCCAGCAATTGTTCTGTAAGGAATTGTTCTGCCTTGTTGAACCTTATCCATGTCCTCTGGTGCAAGATAATACTCATTTCAAGGGGTGATGCAGAAACTTCTAGAAATATATATGAGTTGGGAGTCTATCCACCTGAATATGCATAATTGGAATGGTTATTGGTGAAGATAATATAATATTGCAGAGTTCCGCATGGGAAGTATTCAGTGGTGGGCTATTCCTTTCGTATAATAAATTATATTATGTCTTAGCTTGAATCGTTGGTATATTCAGGTTTTGCTTATCAAAGAGAAAGAGGGAGTGAATATAGCCATATTCCTAAATGAGAAGTGGTTAAATGTCTTAATCCTAACTGAGGTGTGGGTGAACTCAACTTACCTTTGTTTACTCTCGAATAGGCTACTGTTATTGCCTGACTTGAATGTGTGAGATCATTACGATTCTGATACTTTCTTTACCTTTTGCAGAAGTGTTGCCCTCTTGCTTCAGCGCCCCCCAGTGGCACAGCGGTATGTCTGCGGAATTACAACGCTAGAAACCGGGTTTCGATACCCGTGGTGGGCAGAGCACAGATAGCCCTTGTGTAGCTTTGTGCATAATTAAAAGCAAACAAATCTTGCTTCAGCAACCAAATCTGTCTATATAGCGAATATTGAAACCAGCCAGTATTATGAATATATATTTTTGTTTTATTTGTACACGTGTCTATTTTTTCTTTTACTTGTTTGTTTGTTTGTTTTTAATTATGCACAAAGCTACACAAGGGCTATTCCTTTACTTATTTATTGGTGTCCTTGTTGCAAACTACTATGCAACATTTTGAGAACATGATACTTTGCAGATAATTATAGATTTCCAACGGACATAATTATAACTGAGAACCACACATAAAACTCTTTCATTTCATTATTACTTTGGTACTACTTAATAACTATTAATGACTTCTAATCAGAATTAACATATATTAAAAGACAATTTATAAATTAAAGAAGAAAATCCTGCGTAAAAGACTGACTAGAAATATCTAATGGTATTTTCTTTTTTTCTCTTGAGAAAGCCCCCCAGTGGCACAGTGGTATGTTTGCGGACTTACAACGTTAAAAACCGGGTTTCGATACCCGTGGTAGCCAGAGCACAGATAGCCCATTGTGTAGCTTTGTGCATAATTACAAACAAACAAACAAACTCTTGAGAAAAGAAAAGTAAAAGATAATTTAATTAAATTTTACAAGATTATGCAGGAGAGGGCAATCACTATCACTCATTTCTTTTTATTGTATCATGAGGATAATAAGATGACAGATGTTTATGATTTGAAAAATACAGACTAAGCTCCAGTTCAGAAAGTTTTATTTGAATACCAGGGTAATTGACTTGTGAAATGAATTCCCGTGGGCAGTTGTGGAACCCAACATTTTGCATGAGCTGAAAGGGGGAATGAAGTGTGGATGATTTCCTGAATTGATAAGTGTGGATTTAAATTGTTACTTTTCCTAAGGTTTGGGTGTAAGAATATCCTTTGAAAGACCAAATGGTTTGTTGTTGTCCCTAGGTTATGTTATGTCATAAACAAGTCTCATATGTTTGGCTCTTTAATAATCCCAGACTGGTGACTGCCAAAGCAATCCAATTCCAACTCTAGTCGGAGTCATCTGAGAACATTAGAAAGAGACTGGAGGTTTCACTGATGGAAGATGTCCACCAACCAAAACTTTCTCGTAAGCAGGGAAGACGGCAGACACTGAATGGCAGAATGTGAGTCATGGAGCAGGGGTAAGTCTGCCTGAGTCAGGAGGTATACTGCCAACGTAAACGTAATCAACAGAGGGCCTAGTGTTCGAGCAGAGGCAACAGACGCGCAGCTCAGAGTACCTCATCATTCTGCTACCTTGTAACAGCATGGTCGAGAAATAACTAAGAAAATTAATCTTCGACCAGAACCTTCAGAAAGGTAGCCACATTCAGAAGCTAGCACGGGTGTGTGCTGTTGAAGTCGAAAAACTTGTATATTAAATAGGCAAAGGCATTTCCTGATGGGAGATAGATAATTAAAGTGTGTAATAATCTATGTATGGGTGCATTAAAAAATGGCTACTTTGTTATTCTGTTTTTATGCGATGTTTACATAAATTTCTCTTTTAGCTGTCCTCCAATGGGTCAGCAATAAGTTTAAGGACTTACAATGCTAAAATCCAGGGTTCAATTCTCCTCATGGAACAGATGACAAGTAGCCTGAAAAACTAGTCGCATGTTAAAATTTAAAAGTCAAATGTTTTCTTAATTCAGATGTAGTGGTCATTCACTCAACAAACTCATTGAGGACACGAAACTGAAAATACATTTAATGTTGACTAACGCATTATTTTTGTAGTTTCATTATCAAACTACGAACATATTTAATTCGGAAAATATCGAAGTTAATTTTAGAAAAAATCAAGAAAAAACTGTCAAATAATTTAATTTGTTTGTTTGTAATTAAGCACACAGCTACACAATCGGCTATCTGTGCTCTGCCCACCACGGGTATCGAAACCCAGTTTCTAGCGTTGTAAGTTTGTTTGTTTTTCGCGCAAAGCTACACGAGGGCTGTTTGCGCTAACCATCCCTAATTTAGCAGTGCAAGACGAGAGGGTATGTCATCACCACCCACCGCCAAATCTTGGGCTATTCTTTTACCAACGAATAGTAGAATTGACCGTAAAATTATAACGCCCCCACGGCTGAAAGGGCGAGCATGTATGGTGGGACAAGGATTCGAACCCGCAACCCGCAGATTGCGAGTCGAGCGCCCTAATTACCTGACCATGCTGGACCAGCGTTGTAATTTCGAAGCCATACCGCTTTGAACAGAGTATCAAGCGTGGAATAAGAAAAAAAGAGAAAGCGTATTTCACACATCCACAATTTTTCTTGTCTTCTCATTAAATGTTGATAATTTATTTTAAAATCATATGTTCCTTCAGTAACAAAGTGAACAACTTGTCGTGCTACTAATAAGACATTAATGTTATTTTTTTAGTCATGCTAGAAAAGGGATAAATCACAAAACTTAAAGTAAATATTTGGTAAATATGACAGCTTTACAAGTGAACGTGCTGCATTAGTGTAGTATTTGAACATACCATTAATTTCTATATTATTGTAATATTATGATATTTATTCTTTGTTCTGTATATGTGCAGGTTTCACATAATAACTGGTTGAGAAAGCCATTAAGTTGATTTCGTTAACTTTTTCCGTTTGTTGTTCTCAGAAATAAATAATGCTTGTTATCCAGGGAGGATATTACTCAATACATGTTGTTTAAGTATGTCGACAGCGATGTCTTTCAATGGTTGTTTAGATGATATCTAGAGGTATTGGTCCCACCTACATTGTAAAGAGAATGACTAGTCACGTGTAGTGGAAGTTACCTTAGATAAATGTGAGGTTTCTTGTGAACTAAGAAATGTTGCATCTGGTCATTCGAGTTTAGAACATCATTTCATATACTCAACTGGAAGTTCATCTTCAATAGTCAGTACTGTGATCCAATAAAGGTAATCATACAGTGTAAGTAACAGCAAGAACATACCTCGCTCATATTTAGTATTTAACAAAAATTATTCATGTCATATCACACTTTATGTCCAGTGTCGTTATTTAATTTTTACACCAGTTCAGTTAGTAAAAGATTTAGTACTACTCCGTAATTGACATCTTGGGCTAATTTCTTGTTATCTAATGTAACTATTTGATATAGCTCTAACATTAATTCAGTTTCACCTCGACAAACTACAGAATGGATAGGTAGTGGGAAATTTTGGTACCATGACTGCAGGATATCGTTATTACATCTAGCAGAAGCGCTGCCCTACGGCCGGCTGTTTGTGCCAGTAATTACTAATAGTAGTATTCATACTTGATTTAAAAATATATTTTTTTAATGTGAACATGTTCTAAAAAAGGATTTTCTTCTGGGAAGTATTGCACAGGAAAGGGGTTCGGATTGTGCTCTTTAATCGTATGCAGCTCATTACATCAAAGTGATTCAATGTACAGAGCTCAAACTTTTCATAACTTTTAATGATATAAACTGTAATGTTTTATATATTAAAAGTGCTACCATTTACTGAAAAAATAATAGTTTTTAAGAACTCCAGTTTCTCGCCACTACATTTAAAAATTACATCAATAAAGATATAATCAAATCCTCAATTTTTTAAAATTGTGTTATATTATAAAGAAATTGATAATACCACAGTTACTTTTCTAATTGTCTGAATCTTGAGTACCCAAAGTCGGAATTTTTTTTATGGATTTTTGTTTGTGGTGGCATTCAACAGATGAAGCAGGAGTTTTGATCACATAAATAGACACTGACATACACGCTTTATCTGTTGAACTGTGTACATCCCTTTACCCGAAATCTGGTGCAGTAAGTTTAAAAAGCTTCTTAATTAACCAAGAGGGAATCCTCAATAGCCACAACTGTAATTACATCTCAAATCGGTCAAAAGATGGAGCTATGAGATAAAACTTTGTAGTTGAAAAACAAACAAAAAACTCAGAGCCATTCTATGAGCTGATATACCATAGATAAACAATTTTTTCCACAACAAGAGGGAATTATGAAAAAATTGGAGAAACAGTCTCTGAGGGAAGATGTTTGGCTAACAGAGTTACCTTGGATGTCGGACTTTTGAAGATTCTACAAAGAGTCATGATTTTAATCTCATTACAACTGTCTACCCAAGAAGACATTCTGATTTATGATGCA